AATGGTTTGCTCATTGTCGAAGGGTAAATTACGATGAAAACTTCCTCTCTCATATTTTTTTGTTGTTTTGGTTCATTTGATTGAAATTATTGAGATGATCTTGCGTGGTGGTCATAGACTAATAGTTAGAATTCAGTCGCTTGTGCACTAATTGATTGAATGCTGAACCCTTTGTTTGGCTGCCGAGAAAAACACAGGAAGGGGAAAGAAAGTGTAGTTATAGTTTTTCCTATTTTTACTGCTAAAAGGATTTATTTGTATGAGTACTGAAAATCTTATGTTCTTCATATTTTTTGGGGCTAGAATAATTCAATTTTGAATTTTTTTCATTTTTCCTACAGTTTTCAGAGCTTGTAAAGGAGAATTAACTTTTCACAGCAATCATGATAAGGACTTTCATATGATGTGATCAGAAAACAGAGGAAGAGGAAAGGAAACCTTATCTGTGTGGTTGCCAGAAAACAGTGAAAATAAAAGAATGAATAACTTTGTGATATGTTTATTTTATCTTTCATTAAAGGAAAACTTGAAAAATTAAATGCTCTGTTTTTCCTATTAGATTTTTTTAGGCACTGGAATTTTTAACATCCATTTTTTTTTGGGTAGAAAAATGGTAAGACGGGAATTCTTCAACGAATTCCTGCGATATGTTCTCAACCTCAACCAGGGTTTTGTTGCTTATTGGTAGTGAAATTTCTTTTTTTTTTTTAAAAATGAACTACATACGGTTTATTGTGTGGATTAATAGTCACGTAAGTACTAGTGAGAAAATTCTCTGGTTATGATATATAAGTTATGCTTTGCTTCATTAGCAAGGGAAAACTAGGTAAGGTTCACAATGATACCTTCTCTCTCTATTTTAAATATTCTTCTGAAAATGCGTTTTTGCTGGAGCTGTGAACTCCTGCATACGTCCATTATCGCACAAGTTTGGTTTGTTTGAATTTTAGACAACTTAGTTTCTTAATGAAGAGTTGGAAAATTGCATCACCCATATGGAACTGTAACTCTTCGTTTGCAATTAGTTCATGATTTTATAATGAAATGACACAAACTTTAACTGCTTTATTCATAATGATCTGAACACTCCTATTATTGACCAAAAATCAGTTGCTGGAATATGAATCATATCATTTTCATTGGGAGCGAGTTCTAGAGCGCATCATCATGATTCCAGTCCTGTTTGGCTCACTTTATTTAGGATTAGGCTAGTATGGGGTCTTGATAAACATTAGTATTTTCAGAATCCAGGAGCCCTGATCTGTCTATCCCAGCTCTAAATAAACATATGACCAGAGTTGGTGCAATTTGAGTTTTGGATCCCTCACAAGTAGCTAAGATCACAAGGTAAACATTAGTATAATCAGAAGCCAGGGGGGCCATTTTGTGAACATATGACTCATAAGTAGCTAAGAATCACTTCACTAACTGAACACATGATCAAAGTGGGTGCAAGGTTTTGTAGAATCTTAATTTCATGAACCTTAGAGGTTGGAATTTATGTTTGACAGTTTGAGTACCGTTACAAGCATCCTCCTAATTTTGAGGCATGCTGCCAGAATTTGGATTGACAATTGTACACTGGATGATTTTGAATCAAATAAAGGGGTAACAATATATTATGACTTGGTATTAATTTTTTGAGGGATGTACATATCAGTCTATACAAGCAAGAAGTCTAGCTTTAAATTATAGGTAGAGGAAATTATTTCTTTCGGATTTTATGCTAAACTATGGTTCATTTCCAACAGGGAGGATCATTTTGCAGGCTGCCATTTTAACCTGTGTCGTGGTTGTTAGCCTAACTCTCTACACATTCTGGGCAGCAAAGAGAGGCCAAGACTTTAGCTTCCTCGGGCCCTTTCTTTTCGCTTCCCTCATGGTTCTCATTGTTTTTATGCTCATTCAGGTATGTGGGACTTGGTTTTCTTTTCCATTCTTTTCATCTTTATTGTGGGGAGACATTTGTGCAATCTGTCATATTGTTATGTTAAACTCTCTCTCATATGCTACATTTTGATTTGTCGAATGGTTTGCCATGAACAGATCTTCATCCCGTTAGGGAAACTAGGTTCAATGATTTATGGGTGTTTAGCAGCACTCATATTCTCTGGCTACATCGTATTTGATACCGACAACCTGATCAAGCGCTTCGACTATGACCAACACATCCCGGCTGCAGTAAGTCTTTATCTGGACATCATCAACCTGTTTCTTGCTCTTGTTACAGCCATGAATGGTAGCGACAACTAGTGTCTTTGCTTCTCTTACATACTCACTCCTCTTGGCACATCTTCTGGCTGCTGATAAAAAACCATTGGGTCATGCATCAACTTGCTAATTCTGTTCTTTATGCTGTGGTAGCTCTAAATATAGGGTGTCACTGCATATCATAATTGTAAATGGAGTAGCTTTAACAAACTAAACTTGGTATTGTATGACTTACTAGAAAAGAAAAGAAAATTGGACATAGATTTGGTCTTATTTTGACCTAAACCATATTTCACTGGTAATGATGTTTAGTGAGAGATGGAATGCTAGTTGTCAAGCTTCCTGCACTATTTGTGACCTTGGTGGGTGCAACTTGTACCAGTCAACCCCCCGACTCCAACATGAAAAATTCAATACTTAAATATTTTCATTGCTCGGGTTAGACTTGAGAAAAAAAAAAATTCCAAATGGATTTAAATTCTGGTGGGTTCGGGTTGACCTTGCTTGACTCGAATCCAAGCTGAATTAATAAAATCAGGCTGAACCAATTTCAACACGGTTCTATACTTGATGCCATCAGAAATTTAAAAGGTATTATTATGTTCTGATGGATCAACTAACAAGTGTAGAAAAGGGTGCTACAAACTCAACTTAGCTCCATTCTTTTTTCCTTTTGAGCGAGTCATTTTGCTTCAGTGTTCAGGTATCATTTTAGAAGATAATCTGCCTTTTGTGGGCTAACATACAAATTCGAGCCAAAAAGGAAATACAAGATGATATACGTTCAGTCTCACACGAGGAATTCGAGTTTTTGGATCTCCAGAGGTGTATCCCCATGCTTGTTGCTTATGGCAATTAAGTCACTCGAATCACCTTCCAAGTAAGCTTTCATGAAAGCAACCACAATTCCCCCAATAAACCTCCTCATGGGCTCTCTAGACTTCCCATTTTTACACAAACAGTATGTAGCCTTCCCTCTGACTCCTTTAGTATCATCATCTAGCATGTCAAGATGGCCATAGTCCTTGGCAACAAAGTAATAAGCCGGTTTAGAACATTCGTTGTAGAAGTCCTCGTGGTTCACCCCTTTAGGAGCACAAGGAGGGAACAAAGGATTCTTCTTCACTTCACCTAAACCCGAACCAACGACCAAAACTGCCATATTGAGATCAAATGAGTGAGGAACATAGGTGAGGACTGGTGGTGGAGTTTGTTTCCCTTTATCCATGCCATCGACAGGGTCTACCCCTATCAAGGCTGAAAACTTTAAAGAAGTCGCGCCTTTTTTAAGAGCAAGCGCGAAGGCAACCTTTCCTCCCCGGCTGTGGCCAGCAAGCCCCAGCTTGCTTAAATTTGGCTGAACATGGGATGGAAGCGCACTTTGGAGTCCCGCGGATAACCAATTTGTAACTGCAGCACTGGACTTTATTTCATCGGTTGTATCTGGTCCAGCCACAGAATATAACTGTTCAATTCAAATGAAATAAGATATGACATAAACATACAATTCTGCTACTGTCAGGATCATACACTGTAAACAATTCATCGATGTTGAACACAAACTAAATGAAAATACTACACATGCATTCAGTGATAGTCAAGAAAATGAAAGATTAGGTAAGCACATGACGACATAGACATTAAATTTAAATCTGCTTCATTCAACTGATTGCCCTTTAAATTGAAAAAAAAAACCTGAAACTGTTGGCTTTCAGCTCATGATCATCCCTCTTATATTATACCCTTTATTTTTTCTTTTTTGAGTTATGGTATAAGACAAATGTGACACTATTACTATTTGCCTGAAAAACTCCTGGATTCATCCACATATTTTACCTTTGTGGCAAACTAAGGTTCCTAAGTGACTACAAAACTATGTAGTCACATTATACAGAATTTATATGAGCCGAAGCTTATGGTCTGATGTAGTCATCGAGAGTTGTAGCTGGAAGATTTAGTCAATCAACAAGTGAAACTTGTTGGCAATACTTCCCCAAAGAAACTGTTGTGATTTGTGTGCCATGAACAATCAAAGAAACAGAAAAATTAGAAGATGAACATAAGAATTTTGCGTGGTTCAACAACTTGCCTACGTCCACGAGAGAGCGGCTACTTTGTTTTTATTCCACAAAAAAAAAAAATTGAACCTGTTCAATACATGTGCTCTGCAACTATCTGTTTATTTTTTTTGGGCATATTTCAACTATCTAATTACTGAGTGTTGAAATTTACACCAACTTCTGTAAATACAAGTCTAATGTATACCAAGAAAAGCACAGAAATAGGGCATTTCAAGAGCATCATCAATTATTCATTTACAGAATGCCCAATCCAATTGTCAGATAGTTGTTAACACCAGTCATCACTTATATTGGGCAAGAATTTAATGCATATGGGGCCAAGTGCAAAGATTAACATTCATTATCTAAAATTACTCATGGAGGGACAGAAAAGCAGGTATGCAAATCAGACACTAGTGCCCTGACACGACAGGGAGAGAAAGGTCCAAGAATTGGACATGGGTATTGCTTATCTAGAATATCATAGCTGCTAAAACATTGCGGAGTTGAGAGAGAGTCAGATGTACGTAGTCATCCTCTCCGGTGATTCGAATCTATGATAAAATTGTACATCAACTAGAAAATGGAAGATTTAAGTAAAGAAAACTGACCTGAGGAGCAACAACAATGAATCCATGGGAAGCTATGTGTTTGAAAAGCTGAGAGTAGAAAGAATTGTTCAGAAGGTAACCATGAAGGAACATCAATATTGGGAATTCTCCTGATTGTAATGGTGTAGCAATCAACAGTGGCTTTGGAGGAGGGACAGTGAGTGAAGACTTGGTTGTGCAAGTCTCTGCCTCAGCTTTAACAAGCACTGTTTCATACTTTCCTATATCAAACACACTTTTTGTAGGTGGTGTAGAGGAAGCAACAGAAGAGGAAGTAGTAGTCATCACCATGGCCAAGATTCTAAGCTTTCTGAGTTTTGGTAGTGGGTGTGTGTAGATAAGTTCACTTTGTGTGGTCTTTATAACCCCACCACCTTACACTAAAAGCAATTGGGTTGTTGCAGTGTCTTCTTAGTCTCTTCTCCAGTGTGAAAGTGGGGAACTAGAATGTGTGTGCTAGATATTTTGAGACCTCTTGTAAATATCATCGTTACCAAGCCTACTAAACAGGCCGGGCCGGGCCTATCCAACCTGCCCTTCATTCTTAATGTGTGTCCATTGTATAGCCCATGAGGTCTGGAATAAGTCTTGTATGAATACTTTAATTGAGTCTTAAATGGTTTAAAAATTGTAGTGTTGAACTCCATACTCTTGATAAGGTATTAAAAAGGGAACTCCTTAAGAAAGTAGCTCACCATAAGAGGAGAAGAGAAAGGTGTGACTCTATTCAAGACGAGAGGCAGACCTGTACAATCCCAATTGATTTTAGCATAATCCCAATTGAAGTCAATGGGCTGGGCCAGAACACGAATAAGGTCCAAATTCTTTGGTGTTGTAAGTACTATAAAAACCAGCAGCAGAATTTTTGTAATTTCTGTACAAATTTATGCACAAGGTGTATCTACCCAATGTGAGTGAGTCTAATCCATTGTGTGGTAGTGTTCAATTTGAGGTTTGTGTACTGAAAGTGGGAGTGTTAGGAGTGGTGGAGGTTTGCCGTAGACAGTGGTGGCAGGTGGCTGGGTATTGTAGGTGCCGATTTTTGTGGGGTATGAGGAGTTGATAGACTAGTAGGAACAGGTAGAGGAATAAGAAAGGGCAGAATGTGTGTGTGTGAGAGAGAGAGAGAGAGAGAAGGGGGGGAGGGGGAGGGCAGCGAGAGAGTGGAAGACGGAGGGTAATAATGATATTCGCTATCGTCATATCTCCCTCTAAAAATTGTTAATAACAAGCTTTAATACGTGAAATGAAAATACGAGCTACAAGAGAGTACAATCATATTTCAACACAGCAAAAGGACATCTCTATAATAAGGACAATCTGCTGGAAATTTTAGTGGTACTTACCCTCTTTAAGAATCGATGCATTTGGCCCAATGGGAAAATGATGGCTAGACAAGAAAGGGACCATGGAAAGAGCAATAGGAGTTCTCACATCTCCATAGTTGGCCATGTGAACAATGCTGCCTTAAAGTTTAGAAACCCTATTGTATAAGCATCCTTTAAAACCTAGGTATATTACACTGGTAATCTAGACATTCCTCAGACAAACTTGGCTCCATGTTTTACTAATTTTAATATTACCTAAAATACAAATACTCTTGATTCACCAAATTCAAATCAAAATTATAATACAATGCAGAAGATTACAAATCCAGACAATCACTAGATCACAAAACCCAATTAAACGGATGCAAATACTCTCCAATATATATTTTTCTTCAATTTCATCCTTGGCAAATCTTCCGCCTATCAATGAGTGAAGGTCCCATAAATAGAGAGCAACTGATCCATCAAGAAAAAAATTGGAGAGAATACATATCGACAAACACCTCATTCCCAATTGAACAAAGAAAAGAAAAGCAAAGACCCCATATATCAGCAAAGCACATAGAATCAAGGGAATGTCTTTATCTCTTATTCTTTTTACTCAAAATGGGATTCTTCCTCCTCTTTTTGACTCCTCCCTAGTCCAAGATACTCCTTTTTTCTCTCAAATAGTGAAACAACCTGAGGGACGAATCACATGGGCTTCCTAGCTTTCATCCAGTTCACTTTACTTTAACAGTTCAAAAACAACCACCAAAGCCCAACAATGCATTCTTCAAAGAGAAGAGGTCCCCATTTGGATAACTTATACTTTAATTACTTCTTTTTACACTAGGAATACTCAAAAGAAAAAAACAAAGAAAATGAAATGAAAAGAGAGAATAGAAAACAACCCCACCCAATTTCAAACATATGGTTAGTCTGAACCATCAAAAAGCACATGAAATCTACTAATCTAAATACCCAATTTGCCATGACACCCATCTTTGGGATAAAACTTCAAATTCTATGTCTATTGTTCCTTTCTGCAGCAATGGTGAGCAGCCTTGATACACCTTGCGTCCATATATCATACTCTCTTTGGTTCTTGCACTCGAATTCGACAACTCCGCGCAATACCGTCTTTAACGCAAAGTATCTGCGGTGCTCACCGCCCTCGAGCAAGTGGCGGCCAGGCCATGCCGGAATATCTTTCAACACCTCTAACACCACATCTGTAAATTCAAAAGATAAGACAGATTAAAGATGAAGCCTTTTTCATCTTTTCTGCTATATTGCATACTGCTTTCTCAAATCCCCAAATAGAAGGAAAAGACCCACCAGGCCACCACCTCCAATTTCTCTTCACATCATGAGAGAGACAAAAAGCAACAAAAAACTTACTCTTTTTCTTTTTGGTGATGGTCCCAGCAACATGTCTGCTCTTCATCTTCAGCATTACCTGCAATAAAGAATTGTTGTGATTTAGATTTGCAATGACACAAAAAAGCCAAAAAAGTAGATTCATCTTGTTTGATCAAAAGTATGAATTGAACTTTTCAAGTTCACCACAAGAAGTTTCCATGTTGTAGCCAAAATTTGAACTATAACTCATGTTCATGTAAAGAATTCAATGTGGGATAGTTCACCAATCATAAGAATAGTGATAATTAATCATAAGATAAGAAACTCACCTGACCCAATCTGTTGATGTAAACAGATACTACTTTCCAATGAAGATCACCTGCATCAAACCATAACAGTAAGGTTGTCAAGCTGTTTTAGTATGCAAAACAATTTTCAAATTTGACAAAGATAAAAATTTCAAGGAGACAAACATGCACACTCTGTCTAATCCCCTTTGGATTCTATTTGTCTATATTGTTTTGTTTTCCTTCAAATTAAATACACCCTCCTTCATACATTCAGTAAGTGTAGTAACGATTAGTGCGTGGAATTACTTTGTTAGGCTGGTCCTAGCAATCACAAATTTAAGATTCAAAATTCAATCAGTTCTTATATACTCTGATTAACTCAACGAGAAAAGAGACCTTTGCGGGTGCGCTTGAGGAGCTCACAACCTCTGGCTAGTAATTCTCGACTACAGATGCCAAGGAAATTATCTTCGGGAACAAGCTCACCACTCAAACTACCATTAGAACTGCCATTACTGCCACCATTACCACTAACTCCCAACCCTTTTTCAACTGGAATCACTGACGCTATATTCCACACTTCCTTCAATGCCCTAGCCTTCAATGTCGCCGCACCACGCAGAGCTACAATTCACCACCACCCACACAAAAGTAAACTATCACATCAGATAATATCCAAGAACACAAAGGCATAAGCATCAATTGACATAGATTAACTACAATATACTTTTTTTCAAAACAAAGGCAAATTAGCATTCATATTCTGACCAAGTACATTACCTACAGTAATAAAAAACCATCTAATGCACAACTTTAACACACCTGTTGCAGCAGCTGCTGTCAAAGTCATAATATCACCGGCTGATCGGACATTAACTGCTGAACTAACAACAGATGCAAGGTGTTCGCGCTCAGCCCCCATTGCCTCAGCAGCCTCCACACACTGTGCTGCAACCAATGTGGCGGCAGAAGCCACGGCCATGTCAGTTTTTGCCATCTGCTCATCCTTCCCAGTCCCAGACGACGCAGCTGTGGCAGCAGCAATCGCTGCCACAGCTGCCGCAACCCCTGCAACTGAAATAGCAGCATGGAGCTGGGCATTTTGGGCTCTAGTCTCCTCTTTTTTCTTCTCTCTCCTGTCCTTTAACCACCTCCCCACTGTCTTTCCTCCACCGCCCGCGGCCACACCACCGGTGGCTCCACCTCTGTACTGTGTGTTCCCTGGATTGTTCAAGCGAGAAAACTGCATTACACAAATCTGAGTCAGCAACTGATAATACAGTAATTCACTAAACAATGTGTATGCACCCATATCGAAACTACCATAAATTTAATGCAAGCAAGCACGCTCTGAATTTCTACACACTGAGACCACACCCACCTCGTGTTCACCATTAATGTGTCCAGGGTTGGACACCATTATAGAGAATAGGACCAGTTTCTGTGTGTGTGTGATCAATCACGGGCACGGCCAACTATGAGAGTGGAATCTATTGTGAATTTCCCATTTTAACCATTCTAAATGGAGAAGTAAAGGACAGTATGGTAATTTAAAACACTCATTCAAGAGAAATATGCATAAAAACCTCTAAACATACATAGAGTAATTATTTCTCGCATTAGGTAGTTACAGTGACCACCCCGCACACCTTATCATTTGCAGAACCATAATCCACAAAGAATCATTAACCCCAAAAATTATTTGGCTTCTTCCCTAAGTGATCATATTTTGAAACTATTTGCAAGTGGAAAAACTAGAAGTAAAGCTAGAATTTTATTTTTTTTTTAACGGTCAGGGGATCACCTCAACTAACCCTCTCTCCAATCCTATTAAAGAAAGGTCATTTGTGCCAAAATTAAAAAATTCATGAGGGATTTTTCGGATCTGAATCTAAGGAATTACCAAAATTTGAACTCAATTTAGAGCTTTGACAGTATTACCACTTGAACTACCTTGGAGTTAAAGCTAGAATTTTTGTGAAGGTACAATATAAAGATTGTTTTCCTTCTACAAAAATAAAAGGGTATAAAAACATGAAAAATTCCATTCAAGTGCGCACCAGTTTAACCTTGATTATAGAAGGAAGGAAAGCATCTATTCCATATAGTACTCTTTTAACTTTCTTAAAGGGAATTGTTGGTTAAAGAGAAAGCTGAGATATGTTGGCTCTCTGATTCTCTGAACCTTGCAGAGTTCGTGTTTTGTAACCAAAAAGAGGAAAAACAACACACAAGTTCAATAACCCATCTGTTTTGGTAGGTGAGTGTACCAGATTCCGGCCAAAATTTCAGTTCTCCGGCGAGGACAAAAAAATGAACATATATATGGAGAGAGAAAGAGAGAGAGAGCAGACCTTGACATCATCTATTTCGGAGGGAGATACAGGGGGGCTATCGGTGATAGAGCCACCATTCAAAGGGCCACTGCTGTGAGAAAGTCTTCCAGAGGTGCGAGGTGATACCTCCTGCTGTACAGCACAAAACCCAAACCATGTTACTATAATACAAAATTGCAATTATCTACACTGTAAAGTGAATAGTAGTCATCACTGAAGAGTTGCAGATCACTTTAAACAATGTCAAAAATTAAACATTACAGAACAAGAGAGAGAAAATGGAATGATTGATAGTGTGTATGAATAAAACAATAAAATAGTTCTTGAAGAATATGAAGCTAATAAACAACAATTCAGAGCAAGAGTGCTCTGTTTCTGTATTTTTAATGCTTCCCAAGAAAAACAAATACCTTAAAACAATTGTAAACAGAGTATAAAGCTCTTGGAGTTACAAGCAACTCTTGGTTTTCCCATGAACATAAAACCCAGAAAGCAACTAAGGAAAAAACAAACAATTATAAGACACAAGCCAAAAACCCATTAAAACAAAACAGATAATTCCAAAGCCCAGGAAGCCAATACAAACAAAACAAAACAAAAAGAAATAATATCCCAGGAACCCATAAAGGAACCACAAGGAAAATTTGCATGAAATTGGTCAAATTGAACAGAGAAGCACAATTCCGGTAAACTATATATATCCTAAGAGAGAGAGAGAGAGCAGAAACCAAACAAACAGAGGTGGTCCTTATGTGCAAAACACACAAACTCGAACAATTCTTGAATACACTTACAGACTGTGACATTATACGTTCCATGACAAGCTGAGAAGTCTCAGAAGAAGCAAAAGAAAAAGGGTTCCCCGAAACAGTCGCTGACTCCTCCAACTCTCCGACAATATCCTCCTGTATAGTCTCACCACCACCACCACACGGACCATCGTTACCATTAAATCCACCCCTCATTGCCTTAGCTACCATCTGAGGTGGAGCTATAGCCTTGGAGACTTCATGAGCAGAGACACTCCAAGAGCGAGATAGGAACTCCATAGGCTCCCTTGGAGTCTCCGGCGGTTTGAATACCAACCGTTGAACAGAGTCCATTTCTTGCAAAAAGTGGACCAGGTTGGGTGAGTATGCTACAGATGTTTGGCTTTGCAGGAGTTTTATGAGAAGGGTCGGTGCTTTATAAAGAGAGACTAGTAGTGTCTGGTGTGGTAAAACCAGAGTGAGGGAGAGAGGTGTCAGTGTCATATGCTCAAGGGTCAAGATAATGTGTATTTGTCCGAATAATGCCAGAATTTATATATATTTTAAGAACTATTTAGATGCATACTTTTTTTTAAGGATATTAACAGGAATTTTTATATTTTAAAATATTAAAATATAACACAATTCGTTAACAAAATGCAACGAAACTAAAAGTTTTGACTCATCTTTTTAACCCACAATTTTGTAAATGAGTGGATTCGAGAATTAAGTATAGGTAAAGTCAATTATAAAAAATATACGACACAATTCGTTAACTGTGAATTAATATAAATAAATTAAATATGAATAGCATATTTTTTAACACAAACACGTTAAGATTCCAGAAAAGGGTAGAAGACTACAAAATCCAGGAGAGAAATGACCCAAAAAAAAAAAAGGGTATAAGAGTTAAAAATGGACGAGAAAAGGGTAAAACAGTTATTTCATATGTGGGATTCGAGAAAAAAGGTCTTTCCCTTCGATAAAGATTTAGATAAACAGTTGCATAAAATAAGATTATTGGGAGCCAAAAATATAAAAATGCGTGAAAAATTTTATGTAGTTTTTGGACCATTGATTGACCCATTAAGGGCCCAATCAGGACGGCTATGGACCCAAGATGGGCCATATTTTTTAGTAGGATGGTCCGATCCGATCCATTCAGAGATAGCATTTGAATGCTAGGGTAGTGCAAAAATACTGTAACTGACTTTAAAAAAACAAAATAGCATCGAGATGACCTTTTTGTTTAGAATGCTTGGGACCTTTGTTAAACAATATTTATACTTCAAGACGGTGTCTTAGGCGAAATTTTTTTAATAACTAGAGTGGTGATAAAATTTAAACACAGGACTTCTTATTTTTAGATATCATGTTAAACAATTTTTTACTATAAAAACTTTAACTATTAGAGAGGTTGTAACTTAAATATTTATAATTCAACAATCTTTAATTTAAATTTTATTGAAAGATTACAAAATTTCATCCTGGGGCTTTTTATTAATTCACAATTATTATAACGTGAAATACACAATCGCTGATTAATAAGACCTAAACATTATCGTCGCACTCAAAAAAGAATGCATTTGTTTTGGATGCAAATCGAGCTTAATCTTTCGAATTTTCTAGTAATTAAGAGAGTATAGACACAAAGATTGCATAGTCTATGTTTTATACATTTGTGAATCGAGTGAATATTACATATTATGGGACAAATTATTTATTTTCTTGTGGTTTTTTTTATATGAAAACACATTATTTCCTTGTACTTAAAACTTATTTATAACCTATGTAATTTTGGAACAAATTGAAACTAGTAGAAAATTCCATAAATATTAACGATCAAATGTCACATATTAACATTTTTGATAAAATAACATATCGAAATAACTTTCATATACTTAATACATAATATATATCTTATTTTTTCCTCTCTAAATATATGTATTTTTCTCGGCCTTCCCTTTTGGTACATCAAATAGATTTTCCAAATTATATAAGATTTTTCTAATTCATTACAATCGTTGTATTAGAAAATGAGTTTTAATGTTAAAAGTGGCTCACTTTTAATTTAACTACAATAATTGATTAGGTCTCTATATTAGATCTGCAAATTAAATTCGGATAGCATTCTGTATAAAATATTCAAGAAGAAAATACCAAAAAAAGAAAGGGTACTATTGTCCTTTTATTCTAAATCATTAACGATGTTAAATTGATACGCATAATTTAGGGGTGATTATGCAAATTACGAATTTATTTCACAACATAATAAAGCATAGTTTGGAGGCCATTTTTGGTAAATTACTTAGCTTAGCTTAGCTTAGCTTTCAATATATTTGAAAGCCCTTTTTAGTAAATCATTATGGATTTTATTCGGTAGGCAATAAGGTCCTATAGGCATTATTATCGTTATCTTCTGAGGACAACAAGTACATCATATTAAAGTTCAAGCGGCCCAAGGCATCCATCTGGATTGAGAAAGATCACAATTGGAGTTAACATCACAAAAAATCACGCATTAAGCATCAAATTTTGGTGAATAAATATGATTTTTTATTTTTTATTTTTAAGAATATCTATTTTTAATTATGTTGAATAACATTTTTTTCTTTTCTCATTTTTTTAAAAGAATGGACCATTACTATTATAATCGATCTACACATAATGAGATACTCAAAGAGAGACATTGTGACAAAGATCTATTGTACTAATGAGCCTCTAACCCAATGATACTCATTACCTTCTAAAAATTTTATTTTTTTGAGATTAAGAGTTCAAGTCTCTTGAACGATAATAATTTAGTTGGTTGGTAAGACATACACAATTGTTTGGATGAACTGTATCAAAGTCTCTGGTGTGAGTTCGAATTCTCAGCACAAACCTTAATTTAATTTGTGTATTGAGAAACTGGTTTACACAATTGAAGTTTGACATCTGTTTTATTCGGACTCACAAGCCTTAACGACATAAACGTGTTTTTACTCATCAGGGAACGGGTCAAAAATTTCTGCCGTTACCCAACAAAAAAAAAAAATCTATTGTATAAATTGAGAAGAAAACATCCAAAGAGGACCCATAAAAATTTCGATTAGAGTATATAATGGTGCACCAAATATGAGTAGGAAAATAACCTTCCTCCTACAGAGATTATTGGAATTTTTCCAACTTCAAGGGATAGAGCATATATATATATATATACAAACCTTATTATGATTTGTGTGATTATCTATTTTTTAATGATCAAGTAATAGAATTGTACATCTTTAATCTATTTTTGGAATTACGTTTTTTTGGAGTTTGAAATTACACTTCTAAAATAGTAGTGTCATTTGGCTAGACAAGAACATTTTTTTTATGACGAAATTTAGAGATATTCTTGCACAATAATTTATATCATAGTTGGCCCATATTAAATTGCTGTGAACCTATATATATAAAATAAGTCTAAATCGAACTAATGAAAAATAATTAAAACAATTATAAATATATATATATATTCCCCTATTTTTTTTAACATTGATGGCATTTTCTTTCCTTCTTCCTTAGAGCAAAGGGAATTGAAGAGCGTGGAACCCAGTTGATAAGTCTCAAAACAGATTTAGCTGGCAGATTGGACCCTACACCAACCCGGCCCACCACCTATGAACTGTATTCATCCGGAAAATTTAATGTATGGGCCACCTCTACCAAAGATCATGCATGATTCATGAAAAAACCTTAGCAAGAGGTAACCCCATCAATTGAGTGGTATAGATCAATGATTGGAAGTCATAACCTCTGCATGTTGGCTTGTGGTTTTGGACTTGTTTGGTCTCAATCATTGTAAATCAAGGTCTCCCATGCTCGATTCATAGAAAAAAAATCATTAAAAAAAATCTATACTCATTTTCTCTAAATAATCGTCTTGCTTTTTGTAATCTCAAATATTAATAATATTTACTGACTCCCAATATTACTTTCATTAATTTAATTATGGATCTCATCATTTATTGAAATTCATTATCTATTAAATGATTGTGAGAGTCAGCAAATGTAGTCAATTTTTTGTAAGAAAAAATTTCAATAACATCCTTCTAATTTACCATACTTTCAAAGATATATCCTATATTTTCTGAATTTTTACTAACACTCATTGTCAGATTAATGCGTTGATTAGAATATAATTTTATTAAATTATCCATTATATATTTTAAGAAAAATTTTATCCACACCGTTTTAGATAGACATATCTTTAATGAAACCCCTTATTTTTATATTTATTTATGTAACCAAATTTGAATTAATTAAATTTTATTTTTTACATATTAAAATTTGAGTTGATTAACAATTATATTTTTTACGTATTAAAATTCAATTCGAACTTAATCGACTCAAATTTTAATACGTAAAAAAAGAATTTTAATCAACTTGAATTGTAAAAAAATAAAATTTAATCAATTCGAATCAAATTTTAATCCGCTCAAATTTTAATATATATAAAAAAATAAACTTTAATTGACTCAAATTTTAATAAAATTTTATGTAAAAATATTATTTAAGATTTATGTAGAAGCAATTTTGTTATGATTTTTTTTTGTTAGAAGCGATGGTTTAACGACAAGGGGGGCCATAAATGTTTAAATATAAACTAAAAGAGTGTCGGTGACGTTTTGAATAATAGAGAGAATTTCATTAAAGATATGCCTATTTAAAAGATGTGTGGATAATAATTACCCAATTTTTTTTTATCTAATTAACATTTCTCTAATCGAAAATATTTTATCTGGTAGTGAAATCTCCTTTTATATATTTTTTTATTCATATGAGTTTATCACTTATGAACGGTGAATGATCAATCGACAATTAAAAAAATAACATTTATTTGGATCTAATTTATCCTTAAATTTCAATACTCGGACTCACTCTGATTCAAATTAAGCACGTTTAAGTTTGAATAATATCTTATTATCTCGTGCTCAAGTTGGGATGGTTCTACTTATAAATTAAAACTTTGATCAATGAGATACACATAAGTTATTGAAGATTTTACAAATTTTATATTTGAGTCGAACTTAGAAGTCAAAAAAAAAATGTACGATTTACTAATAAAAAACAAAAATATTTTGTTTGGTATAATGAAAAAATACAATGATATAGAAAATAGAAAAGATGGAAGTAGGAAAGATAAAAAGTAGATTAATTAGTATTTCTTCCAACTAAAAAAAATTTATTCCTCTAAAATTGGAAGAAAACGTAAAATGAAAGTTAATTATGTGTGTTAAAATATATGTTATTTACTTTTATATATTTTAGTATATGCATTTACCTATTATATATAGTGTACATACTAATTTTATATATAAATATAATGATAAAATATATATATCTATATTTTCTTTTCAGCAGGCCCTGTTTGGTTGTATATCATAAATTGTTTTTCTATTTTCGGAAGAAAAAA